TTAGGGAAACAAGATAATGTATATTTAGAGCTTAGCCTAAAACACAAACAAAGAAGCTGCTCAGTAATTATCATTTAAACAATGCCACTGTCTCATCACCAATGCTTTTGGTGGTAAGGACAATGACCCAGGAAGACACAAGACGCAAAGGACACAATCCTCTGAGTAATCCTCAGAGGCGGGTCACCATGCACAACTTGCAGGAAGTTCCCTCATCCCTGTCCATATCCTCCAACACCCTACAATGTCTCGCCCATCCCCCTAACATGGTACTTACATGCTATGCTGTAACTGTCCTTTCACATCTCTCCCCTCCCCCTAGTCTGAGTCCCTTGGAGAAAGGTCCAGCTCCTGTGAGCCCTTGTGACTCCGGCACCTACCCCAGTCCCTGACAGTGAATTCTCTAAGGAAGTGAGTTAGGTGAGTGAATTAATAAATTAATGCTTATGTGATAGTTTACAGCTTGTTGCTAAGTTTCAGAGAGTTGTTTTTAACCTAAGAGCCTCACAATCCTACTCCTCCAGAAATGACAACTGGGTCCGTTCGATGTTGGATGGCTGTATGGACGCAACTTACATTAGTGGTCAAGGGAGAATATAAGTTGCACATAATCCTAAATCTATGCAAAAGAGCATGCACGACTGCTAAACACATTGGGGATAAATGACCGGGGCAAAAATGTCACTTCTTTAAGAATATATGTCTTTCATTCAAAGAAAGTCTTTACTATCGCCCATCCTGTGCCAGGATCTGGGCTGTGTGCCAAGGACACAAAGGAGTAATGCCTGTTATCATGGAACCTGCAGTTTAGGGGAGGAAAAGAGAGCTCTAGAGAAGGACCCTAAATATCTACCCAAAATGTCAGCCCAGGTTACTCAGCATTCTCCTGAAGTCACTGTCCCCATGGTTCAGAAACCAATGATGTCATCATCAACCTGACCTTTGCTTCTCTTAATTAACCTTTCTCATCAATCATATTTCTACATATGAGCGATAATAAAAAACTGAAATGTAAAAAGAAAACAACTGCATCAAAAACTATGAAATATCTATGGATAAATCTGACAAAAGGCATGCAAAACCACTCCTAGACAACTACGAAATGTCACTGGGAGAAACTAATGAAGAACAAAATCTATGGTCAGGCAGACCTTGTCCACAGCTCAGAAGGCTCAGTGCTAAGACTGCAATCCTCCCAATAGACATGGAGACTAAATACAACCCAAAATCAAAATCCAAGTAGCTTTTTTGTAGAAATAAGCAAGTTGAGTCTGAAAAGGGTACAAAATAGAAAAAACTTTGAAGAATAAAACTGGAAAATTCATACTACCTCCAGACTTAATCTAAAGTTAGCAATCACAGCAACATGTATTAATAAAGACAACAAATAGATAAATGGAACAGAATAGAATCTGGAAACAAATACATAGTCAATTATTTACAACAAAAAATGGCAAAGTAATTTGATGGAGAAAAAAGAATCTTTCCCACAAATGGTATGGAATGACTATACTCATGTGCAAAAAAATATGAAACTTGACCCTTACCATACTAAAAAAGAAAACTTCTCAATGAAACCCACCAAAAACTGTTAAAAAAGGAAGGGGAGGAAGAATGGTAGTTAACGAAGAATGTAGAGATGAGGTGAATTTGATCAAAGTACATTATATATATATACATGTATATATATATATGTATATATATATATATATACATATATAGTAAATATTGCAATGCCCCTTTGTAATAAAAAATTTTTAAAATAAAGATCTAATTAGTCAACATCCTTGCTATACTTAGTAAGTCAATTAATTTCAGCACTATGATGAATATGTAGTAATATTTAATTTTGGCATTAATTTGCATTTCCTATTGACTAAAGAAATTACACACATGTTCATATGCTTATTGATTACAGGGATAAACTATTTTGTGAAACTGAACAAAAAAGAAAAGAAAATTTCCCAAGATGGACCCTGGACCTAAGTATAAAACCTAAAACTTTAAAGCTTCCAGAAGAAAGTACAGGAGAAAACCTTCATGACTTCAGATTAGGTGAAGATTATTTTAGACAGAATTCAAATCATAACAGAACAAAATTGAGAAGATTTTAACCTCTTGTTCTTCCAAGGATAGCCATTATGGGAAAAAGTATGGCGGATCCTCAGAAAATTTAAAATAGCACTACCATATGATCCAGCAATCCCACAACTGGGAGTACATCCAAAGGACGTGAAATCAGTACATCAAAAAGATATCTGCACTCCTGTGTTCACTGCAGCAATATTCACAATACCTAAGATATGGAATCAGCCTTGTCTATTAACAGATGGAGAGACAAGAAAGATATGGCATACTTACAAACCGGGATATTATTTAGCCTCAAAAAAGAAGGCAATCTTGTCATCTGCCACATAGTTGCATAATAGAGGACATTATGCTAAGTGAAATAAGTCAGGCACAGAAAGACAAATCCTGTGTGATCTTTCTTACTCCACATCCAGAATCTAAGCATTAAACTCATGGAGTAGAATGGTCATTACTGGGGGTGATGGGGGGAGGGTTGGGAAGAACTGGTTACAGGATACCAACCTTCCGTTAGATCAGAGGAATAAGTTCAAGAACTCTGTTTTATAACATGGTGACTATAGCTAATAACAACATAGTGTATTGTTGAGAATCATTGAAAGAGTAAACTATAAATGTTCTCACCACAGAAAAAGTGTGGAAGGTAATAAGACATGTGTTAGCTCAATTCAGCCATTCAACCGTGTATACATATTTCAAATCATATTATACTTAACAAATATACAGTTTTTTTCTTGTCAATTAAGATCATTAATTGATCTTTTAAAAACCCTTTCTATTATTCCAAATACACTGCTATGAAAATGAAAAGACAAGACACAGGATGGGATAAAATATTATAAACAGAGGCAAACTGTGAACTAGGAAAAATATATGAAATACATACATACACACAAGGCCTAATCTCCTTAATGTAGAAAAAGCTCTTAACAACTAATAAAAAACATACGATCCAATAGAAAAATGGCCAAAGGACACAAATAGAGAATTCCCCCAAAAAAGAAATACAAATGCCAGTAATCATATGAAACCAAGATTAATCTCACTCAAGATTTAAGAAATGCAAACTAAAAGATGCAGTCTTATAAAGAATATTTGACATAGAAATGTTTATAATAGAAAAAAGGGAAATTACTCCAAAGTCTATAAATAGAAGACAATTAAATACACAATGGTGCAGAGATACAATGAAATACCAAGTACACATTACAACTGAAAGGCAGATTTCCCCCATACTGGTAACATTAAAAGCTGTCGGTAGCACATGGCTGAGTAGGGGAGGATTATTTTAATCCATATAACAAGATCCCAGTCATCTAAAAGTGCACATTTTTATCTGTTTCTGAATAAGCGCACAGAGAGAGTTCTGAAAGAAAACCCCCAAAACGCTAGCAGTGACTGACCCTGGGAGGGATCCCAGGTGAATTTCCTTTACTTCTAAATTGCATGTCCTTGTAATAATCTACAATTTGTACATATTTCCATAAGGAAAGAAAGCTAAGTTTATTTTGAAAAACTATGAAGAAGTTGCAATGCAATGTTCAACGAAACAAATCAAAACATCAGCATCAAGCTGCAGGAAGGCAAGTGGCCAGCCAGACCAAGGCCCCTGGCCTGTGGCAGCGCCTTCCTCTAAATGGCACGGGACCACAAGAAGCCACAGGTAAGTACACATTCCAATTTGTAAAGATAAAGCCAGAGAATAGATCTTCAGGACGAGAATGACTCAGTTCTAACTGTGGTTCTGCCATAATAGTTGTGTTGACCCTTAGACAAGTCAAATAACCTCTCTGAACCTCCATTTCCTCCTTCGTAGAACAGGGTACTAAGTGGCTCCACCCTGTAGGATCATGGGGAAGTCTAAATAAGATACACTTGTGATGTCCTCGGCTACGTGCTTGGCACATTTAAGCACTTACTAAAGACCAGACATTTGTATTATTAGCTGTGACATTTGTTCACTTTGCAACCATTTTATTCTCCATGGTCTGGGATCATAGAACAGCGTGGAAAGAAGGAAGGGCCAAGCTCAGAGAAGCCCAACATCTATTCGTGGGCAATGACATGCTTCTCTACCCTGGGAAAACTTCTTGGAAGCAGCAGGCAAGGAGGAGGGCATCCAGCTGGAGAGAGGAGGAGGATATGACAAGGGCCTAAATGATTTCCTGGTGCTGCCGATCATGCAGTCAATGAGCTAACACAACTCCCTCTTTCCTTGCCCCAGACATCAGTATATTAGGATAGCAGAAAGACTCCTAGGATGACAGGCCAGAAAGGATTTTGAGGGTCATGGAGAACCACATCCCGAGTTCTGCAAATAAGGAACATACAGGCCAGCTCCTGCTGGGAACCAAGTAGTGAGCATCCAGCTGACTCCCAATCATGGGGTCCTTTCCTATGCCCATCCTTCTGTCCCCCTGGCTGCTTCCTCACTAGTTCTCAACTCCCCACTCCCTTTCCCTTGTCCCCTCTTGCACCCCCAATTGTCCTTTATGTCCCTCCCTATGGTGAGGGAGGAAACCAGACTGAGACTTTTCTGACTCAAAGGCCTACAACAAGCACTGTTATGGTCATCACTATGTGAAAACCGACATCACCTTTCCTCTTCTTCCAACAGAAATTGACTGCAAACCATGGTATACATGAGTACATGGAAGAAAGGAGGAACTCTGGGTTATTCTCAAACCTGCCTGACAACACTTCAGGTTACCTTGAAACTCTTAAGAAAAGAGGACCCAGGAGAGAAGGGGACTGTCCAATTCAAGAGGGACCAGCAGACTCCATCCCCTAGGTCATAAATGTAACCAAGAGGCAGGGCGTCCATGGGGTGAGGAAACGCTTGGCGTCAGGAGTGGAAGGCTACCTCCCCAGACACAGTCCTGACTCTTGGCCATCACTGGGCCGGGACTTACCTTGGGCAGGCTGACTGGAGTCCGGGGCTTGGTCCTGGGATTCTTAATCAAGAGCCTCTGATCCAGAGGGAGCAGATGGTATTTCATGGCCTCGATGAGGAAGTCCTTACAGGTGTTGTTATTCTTTATCAAAGCTTCCTCTTCAACTGTCTGCAGGTAACAACCCACGGGTGATCCTAGAGCAGAGCTTGGCCATGTTTCCCAAGCTCAGTCCCCAGGCTGAGTCATTCCTGCACTCTCACTCACTCATTTCCACACAACACTGTCTCAGAGCCAGAGAGGAAGATCCACGGAATTACAACTTTCCTGGATTTCAAGAGCCTGGTGGGGGCTAAGGGATCAAGTTCTGCCATTCGATAGGGACTCAAATCCCAGTTCCACCACTTAGCATCTCTAGTTCTCAGTTTCCTCGTCTGGAAAATGGGTGTGCTGGACTTAGCTACAACCTCACTAGTTGTGTTTATTTTCTGAGGCTTAAATGAGTTCATGCAAAACAAAAAACAGGTGGTTGTCCTGAATGCCTCTTCCCACATTCTTCCTGGTCTGAGTACATTATAATGTTTAAAACAAATGTACAGTGACCTGAGAGCAGAGCAAGGGAAAGAGGAAAGGAGGTGAGACCAACAGCCAACATTTGGAGGCACTGAGTAAAAGAAAGTGGTCAAGGAGAAGGATTGATTCATAGCCATTTTCTTGTAGTGAACGTCTCAGGGAGAAAAGGGGCCAGTGAAGCTCTCTCTACCAGAGTAGTAACACCAGAGTAGAAATAAAGTCTTACTTATTGGCCTAACCTCAGACCCAATCTAGGCTGGTACTCTGATTTCTCCACCTTGTATTCCAGAACTCAGGACCCATTTGCAGGACTTCAGCAAATATAAATCTAAATGTCTCTTGAGCCAGACTAAGGGGAAGATATGCCAGCTCTGACTCTCAAATCTCACCATGTGTCCTAGTCACTAAGTGGCATATCTAGCACAATAATGTGACCTTCTGAGGCCACGCCATGTGGGGGAAGACCAATTCCATGCAATAGCAACTGTAATTGATTGAATGTCTCCTGTCTGGGCGGTCCTGTGCTGGTCCCCAGAATACACTGATGAACAAGTCTAGGCTTCTGACCTAGGGAGGTCAAATTCAGTCATACAGTACAAAGGGCCTCTCACCTCAATTACCTCAGCCCCCTGCTAGTCATGCACAAGGCCTGGCTGAGCCTCTCCTGGGTCCCTTCCTGTTGCCAGGAATGAATATATGTCCAGGCCATGACCTGCTGAGCAGCACTGAAACCGGCAGGAAAGGGATTGGTAAGCCAAGGTATCTGTTACCTCTGGGCACCTCCTTCCCCAGCCGCAGAGGCCATCCCCAGGATCCCACCAGGCTAGACTAGTTTGAAGTTTCAAGGTCAGATGATTGTTAATGAAACATCCTTCCTAGAGGGGTTTCACCCTGTGAGGCTGATTTAAAAAAAAAAAAAAAAACCTTTAAAAAGGGGCCTGGGACTGGAGGCGTGACTCAAGCAGCAGAGTGCCTGCCTAGAAAGCACAAAGTCTTGAGTTCAAACCCCATACCACGAAAGGTGGTTGAGGGGAGCTTACCCAACAGTTCTTATACCATGGCCTCTTACCTCTTCTTTTCCAGACTCCACAAGTACTTTGCAATAATTACCCCAGAACTATTTCCTAATGTCTTTGTTAAGTTTCAGTTGTAATATGACAAACTTATAGCCAACATAATACTTAATGGAGAAAAACTGAAACCATTTCCCCTAAAATCAGGAACGAGACAAGAGTGCCCACTGTCCCACTCCTATTCAACGTAGTCCTGGAATTCCTAGCCAGAGCAATGAGGCAAGAAGAAGAAATAAAAGGAATACAAATAGGTAAAGAAACTGTCAAAATATCCCTATTTGCAGACAACATGATCCTACCCCTCAAAGACCCAAAAAACTCTGCCCAGAAACTCCTAGACACCATAAACAGCTTCAGCAAAGTGGCAGGATACAAAATCAACTTACAAAAATCAGTTGCCTCTCTATACACCAACAATGAACAAATTGAGAAAGAATATAGGAAAACAATTCCATTTACAATAGCCTTAAAAAAATCAAATACCTAGGAGTAAACTTAACAAAGGATGTGAATGACCTTTACAAGGAGAACTACAAACCTCTGAAGAAAGAGATCCAGGAAGATTACAGAAGGTGGAAAGGTGCTCATGGATTGGTAGAATCAACATAGTAAAAATGGCTATACTACCAAAAGCAATCTGCATGTTTATTGCAATTCCCATCAAAATCCCAGTGACATTCATCACAGAGATTGAAAAATCTACCCTAAAGTTCATTTGGAACCACAAGAGACCATGAATAGCCAAGGCAATACTCAGCAAGAAGAGCAATGCTGGAGGTATCACAATACCCGACTTCAAACTATATTACAAAGCAATAGCAATAAAAACAGCATGGTACTGGCACAAAAACAGACATGAGGTCCAGTGGAACAAAATACAGGACCCGAATATGAATCCACACAGCTATGCCCACCTTATTTTGACAAAAGTGCCAAAACCATGCAAGGAGAATAGACAGCCTCTTTAACAAATGTTGCAGGGAAAAGTGGTTATCTACCTGCAGAAAACTGAAACTAGATCCATGCCTATCACCCTGTACTAGTATCACCTCAAAGTGGATTAAGGACCTTAATATCAGATCCAAAACTCTGAAGTTAGTACAGGAAAGAACAGGGAATATTCTGGAAGCAATAGGTATAGGCAAAGAATTCCTCAGTAGAACTCCAGCAGCCCAGCAACTAAGAGAAAGGGTAGACAAATGGGACAACATGAAATTAAAAACTTGTACACAGCAAAAGAAATGGTCTCTAAACTGAAGAGACCACCCACAGAATGGGAGAAAATATTTGCCAGCTATACATCAGACAAGGGACTGATAACCAGAATATATCAAAAAACTAAACTCCCCCAAAATCAATGAACCAATAAAGAAGTGGGCAACTGAACTAAACAGAACTTTTTCAAAGGAAAAAATCCAAATGGCCAAAGATACACATGAAAAAATGCTCACCATTCTCTGGTCATAAAGGAATGCAAATTAAAACCACACTAAGATTACATCTCACTCCTGTTAGAATAGCTATCATCAAAAACATCATCAACAACAAATGTTGGCGAGGATGTGGGGTAAAAGGAACCCTCGTACACTGCTGGTGGGAATGTAAGCTAGTACAACCACTCTGGAAAACAATATGGAGACTCCTTAAAAAACTAAACATAGATCTGCCATATGATCCAGCAATCCCACTCCTAGGGATATACCCAAAGGAATGTGACTCAGGTTCTTAAAAGGGCATCTGCACACCCATGTTTACTGCAGCACTATTCACAATAGCCAAGCTATGGAAACAGCCAAGATGCCCCACTACTGATGAATGGATTAAGAAAATGTGGTATCTATACACAATGGAATTTTACTCAGCCACAAAGAAGAGCAAAATTTGTCATTTGCAAGTAAATGGATAGAACTGGAGAACATCATCTTAAGTGAAGTTAGCCAGGCTCAGAAGGTCAAAAATCATATGTTCTCCCTCATATGCGGATTATAGACCTAAAACAAATTCAGTAATATTATTGGACACGGGTCACACACTAAGGGGAGAATGTGCACGGGAGGAATAGGGAAAGGGAAAGAAACCTAAAACTTGAAAGAGTTTGATGTGCCCACTGTAGAGAAGCAAATAAAGTAATCTTAAACTGGCATAGGCTACTATGGGAAGGTGCCAGGAAGTAGTAAAGAGGTCTGGTAGAGATGAGCCAATCCCGGTTGCAATACACAAGTGCATGGAAGCAATGCTAGGAATCTCTCTGCATAGCTATCTTTTATCTCACCTAGCAAAAATGCTATGTCTTTCTCTTCAACAAAATTGGACAAGAGGGCAGAACAGATTCTGGCTGGAAGTGAGGGGGGTGGGGGCAGGGGAGAGAAGATGGCTCAAACAATGTATACACATACGAATAAATGTATAAACAATTTAAAAAATAAAAAAAGGAAAAAAAGTTTCAGTTGTAGACACCTGGTAGAGACTGTGACCTGGGGTCTCTAATATTCCTTTAGTTTTCTCTGGAACCCAGGGCCCCTGGAATATACCCTCCCTGTGGAAATGAGACTGTGCTAGAGGTCAGATACTGGCCACTCCACCTTAGCGCAGTTTCCCACAGGAAGCTGAAGTCTGATCTCACAGGCAGGTTCCTTCACTTAGAGGACCTTTACGACAGGAAGGATAAACTGCCACCAGGTGGCAGCATTACCACCCAAGGAAGCATACAGCGCCCACACAAAGGTTTCAACTGTATGTCCTTCAGCACCTGCAAAGGGGGCTCAGAGCAGAGATTCAGAGAACATGTCACTGACTCCTTAGGCCTGTAGCCAACAGTGTTATAAGCATAAGACTTTACAAGCGCTCAGGAAAATCCTATGTCACCTATAGTCACAAAACAACACCAACACCAACAAGCACTCACTGAACACTGTGTCATGGGCTTCTCATGGATCATCTAGCTTTCCCCTCTATTAGGACAGGTATACTGTTTTGACCAAATGAGAACACTGAGATCTTAAAAGGTTACAGATGGCAGGGAGTGACGAGCTGGGCTCCCAGGCTGCTGGGCCTCCACCCTTTCTTGCAGAGCCCCCTCTGGGACAGCTGAGGGCTACATGACTGCCTTAGTGTTTCATTTAGTTCACACATTTTAATGTTTAATGCCATCAGCTATGCAAAATAAGCCATGTGATAAGCAAACAGAAGAGAGTATCAAAGGTGGAAGCTCACACAAGTGTGTGCTCCAAAGCCAGGGTGATGTGGACTTGAATCCTGACCCTCCCTCATGCTAGCCAGTGAGCCCAGATCAATCCCAACCCTCAAGGCCCACAGTTGTAAAAAGAGAGTTTTAAATGTCACCTCACAGGGGACAAGTGAGAAAGCATGTGGCATCATAGGGGCACCCCATAATTCTTCAGTTTTCTTTCATATCTTGGAGGAAGTAGAAGCAGTATGTACTGTAGGCACCCACAAAGAGCTGGCTTTTACAGTCCTGAACTGGGATCCAAGTTGCCTAAAACTATGGCAGAAAGGGAACACAGAAACATTATAGAGGTGATCCTTTTTGTTTTGTCCCTTATAAGAACAACAACTAACTTTAATTAAACGCTTGTTATGCTAAGCTCCATACCAAACACTTCACTTGCATACTGGCAATTCCTGTAGTCCCTGAGCAGCCCTACTTTTATCTACTGTAACTCTGCATGACTGAAATAACTCAAAGCTTGTAAGTAGTACAGCAAGGACTGAAACCTGAATGTTCCACTGTCAAACCTATGCGCTTAAGCTTCTCATTACCACACCTCGCACCTAACCTGGTGGATTGGTGTCCTCAGCCCATGCAGAAGACCCATGAAACTCCTCTACCACACCACACACCAGGGCTCCTCTTCTAGTCCTCAGGACTAGGTGAACAGGGCAGCACTCACCTGGACTAGGTAATCCCTAGGTAAGAGTGGGAGTCGGACATGTTCCATTAACCTTGCCATGTGCTCTAACCGGGTCTCTTTCTCATAATTGATCCAAGAAATCACAGCTTCAAACACCTATAAAGGAAAAAGACAAAGGTTTCAAACAACTTCAATCTATAAAAAACGGGAAAAAAGTTACAAGTCATCAACAAAAGGTGTTTAATCAAAAACTCGATATTTAAAGGAAAGCAAAAGTTAAAAACAAAAAGACTTTATTTTCTAGCTGGTCTTGGAGAGAGATCACACACACACACACACACACACACACACACAGACAAATCTGCAATCCCAAAAGCAGAATTATCATGGTTCATTGCGAAATGAAAATCAGTTGTAATTGTTACTGAAGAGTAGAAATGCGGAGCAGTAACTGTGACCCAAGTGTAAGACGACAGCTCAAGAGGCACAGAAGTCCTAGGGGCAATGTCTTCCTGCCCCTTATTCATCTCCATATACAGTTAATGCAGAATGAAAATAAGAATGCCCCCTGCCTACCTAAAACTGGCTGTGATGATAAATACAACACTGAATGACAAAGAAAGGCAAAATTTTCTTCTTGGCTTAAACCTCTCTTTTGAGAAGAGATTCTATTTCTACACACATTAGAACCAAAGGGCTTGGGACCAAAAGGAAAGTGTTATTCTTTGTCAAGGATAACCCCACATTCAAAGTCTGTACCACCATGGGCATACAGACAGGTAAAGTTCAGTGTTGGTGGATATCCAGCTACATTAGTGAAAACTTAATTAAATACAGCTTTAGAAGGAAGTTAAGAAGGTGAATATGGTTGATTTACTTTCTGTACAAGAATGAATACAGAATTTTAAAACTGTGGAAATCACCATGTGAAGAGGACTAAGGTAGACAGGAGAAAAATTGAGGAGATGAACTAATTCAGGTTGTAATAGATATATACATGGAAATGTCACAATGAAACTCTCTGTATAGCTACCTTAAACAAACACAAATGTCTTTTTTCAAAAACAGAGAACAGGAAGGTTAAGCAGGTCCTATCTGGGGATTAGCACAAGTGAGAGTGGGAAGGATACAAAGAAAGGGTGTAGAAGGATGAATGTGGTAGGAATATTATGTACTCATGTATGAAAATGGAAAATGAGACCTGTTGAAACTGTTCCAGGAATGGGGTAAGGGGGATTAAGGAAAATGATGGACGGAGTGAATTCAACTATAACATCTTGTAAGAATTTTTGTAAATGTCACAATGTCCCCCAGTACAATAATAATAAAAATAAGTTTTTAAAAATTTTTAAAAGAAATACACCTTTCAACAAGGGTGGGGGGAAGAATTTGGCAATGTCAACTAAGAATGAAAATATGCATCTTGTTTGGTCTAAAAATACCACTTCTAGACTCTGGCTACAAAAGTGCTCACATAAACTGGGCACTGGTGTCTCGCACCTGTAATCTTAGCTACTTGAGAGGCTGAGATCAAGAGGATCATGGCTCAAGACCAGCCTAAGCAAAAAGTTCACAAGACCCCTATCTCAACCAGTAACTGGGCACAGTGTCATACACCTGTCATCCCAAGCTATGCCATAGACTGAGATCAGAAGGATCCTGGTTCCAGGCCAGCCTGGGCAAAAAGCAAGGCCCTATCTCAAAATGACCAGCAAAAAGGGCCAAGGAGCACAAAACTCTGAGTTCAAACCCAGTACTACACTACCACACAGAAAAAAATTTTAAAAAGCTCACTTAAGCGTGAGAGAATGTGTGCCCAAATTTCTGCTGAAGCGCTGTTGTAGCAGAATTTTTAAAAGGAACAACCTAAAACCACTAATGGAGAAATTATTAAAATAACATCTCTACCATTGGTTTCAGGTATTAAAAATAAAACAAGACACCTTCTAGTGCCAGGAAACAAGAAAGTGCTCACAGATTAAAGACAAATGCCAAAAGGAGACAGAACAATTCAATGGGCCTTCTCTTGCCGGTATTTGGGACAGCATGAACTTCAAAGAGAACAATAAAGAAGTAACACCAGCTCTGATTTATCATTTATATTGGGGGGGGGCAGAGAATGAATGGGAAGAGGCCAAAGGAAACTTTTGGTGGTAATGGATGTGTATCATGAGAGGGTGTGTATAACATGGCATATATATTTGTCAAAACTGATCAAATTGTGTATTTCATACCTGTACATTGCACTGTGTATAAGCCATACTTCACTATTAAACAGTTTCAGTTTTTCAAAAAGGTAGAATGCAATGAATAAAAAGACAATCCATGAATCCAAAGGAGACTTTAAAAAGTCCAAGAAGCATCTGGGCAGGGTGGTATGCACCTGTTATCCTGGAAGCTGAGGCAGAAGAATGGCAAGTTTGAGGCCAGCCAGGGCTGCATAGTGAGACCCAATCTTAAAAAAAGTATTAGAAGAGCTCTTCTTCACAGAAAAATGCCAGCTACTACATGTAAAAGGAATGACAGAATTAGAAAAACAGTATTTGCGGGGCAGGCAGAGTGGCTCAAGTGTAGAGTATCTGCCTAGGAAGCACAAGGTCCTGAGCTGAACCCTCCTTACTGCAAGGAAGGAAGGGAGGGAGGGAGTGGGGAGGGAGTGGGAGGGAAGGAAAGAAAGGAAAGGAAGGGAGGAGGAGGGAGGGGGAGGGGAAAAGGACAGTATTTTGAAGTCACCATTGTAGTAACTGACTCAGCAAAGATCATGAATGGATTCTGAAATTAAAATTTCCTGGGGAACAAGAAAGTCACAGCTCTCAAAAGTGCTCCACAGATTACATATTATTTATACAGAGGGCGACATACCCTCAGATCAGGAGATCTATCAGATGGTCCCTTAACAAGGAACCCAACTTCCCACCAATAATGGGACAAACATATTCCTGATTGTGATTTATGGGAAGGACACAGGAACCCCAGTTTCATATTTTTCCTAAAATGGTTAACCCAAACTTACAGCACAAAAATAATCAGATAAATCTATGTTTGGAGCATTCTACAATATGACTAAACTAGACTCTTCAAAACTTACTATTATGCCAGGCATGGTGGCTCATACCTGTAATCCTAGCTACTCGGGAAGCAGAGATCAGGAGGATCCTGGTTTGAAGCCAGCCCAGGCAAATATTTCATAAGACCCCTAACTCAACCAATAAAAAGCTTAGTGCAGTGGTTCACACCTGTCATCCCAGCTATGAGGGAAGCAAAAATAGAAGGATCATGGTCCAGGCCAGCCGGGGCATGAGAGAACCTATTTGAAAAAGAACAAAAGCGAAAAAGGGGCTACTGGGGGCAAGGCTCAAGTAGTAGAGTATCTGTCTGGTAAGTCCAAGGCCCTTAGTTCAAACCCTAGTACCTCCCTCCACAAAAAAATCCTCGCTGGACTCTGGTAGCTCATGCCTGTAATCCTAGCTACTCAGGAAGCAGAGATCAGGAGGATCCTGGTTTGAAGCCAGCACAGGCAAATATTTTGCAAGACACTATCTCAAAAAAATCCTTCACAAAAATAGGGATGGTGGAGTGACTCAAGGTGAAGGCTCTGAGTTCAAGCCCCAGCAGCACAAAAAAAAAAAAATCCTCAATATTATGAAAGACCAAAAAAAGAAAAAATCAGGGAGACAATTATATATTAATGAGATTTTGAGACACGACAAATAAATATAATGCACAAACCTTCAACAAATTGTGAATTAAAAAGGAACAGCTGACAAAGGTCTTTTTTGTGGGGACCATTAGAAAAATTTGAATACTATGTGTTAGATAATGTTGCTGAATCTATATTAAATGTCTTTGGCATAATAATGACTTTATGGTTAGAAAAGAATTTGTGTTCTTAGGAGGTGCATACTAAAATACTTAAAGGCAAATGTCATAATATCTGCAATTTACTGTCAAATGTTTCATCAAAATGAAAGATTAAAATCTGTAGTGAGAAAAAAGAAGCAAAACATTAACTGGTGACTCTTGGTAAAGATCACAGGGACGTGCATTCTTTCAAACCTTATGATAGGTCTGACATTTTCTGAATAAAAAGTGGAGAGGGAGAAGAAAAAAGTGTAAGAGAAAAGGGGGGTGGGGCAGAAACCACAAAATTTACAGTGTGGCTTAAAGCTGAAATGAAAACTTTATCTACCAGGATAAAAACACACCAGTTTTTCTTAACCTAACTTTATGTTTTGTGTATTAAAACATTAATGATGTTTGTACTAAAGCACTTCATCTTGTTTCAGGAAAGGAAGGGAAGAAAAATTAAGTGGTGGGAGAGGTATTGAGTTGCAGATGGATAAGAAAAAGAACTTCCGGTGTGCTATTGCACAGCAGGGTGACTGCAGATAACCATGATGGATGTATTTCAAAAGCTAAAAGAATTATCTCATCATAAAGAAATGAAAAATGTTAGAGTTAAATGGATATGTTAACCTGATTTAATGTTACCTAATGTGTACATATGAACGTACATGTTTTATCTAGCTGTTTAAAAAAATAAAAAACTTACTTTTAATGTAATGGAGCAGTATATGTGTGTAGTTTGTTCCCATTTCTAAATAAAAGAACCTATATGTTGACATAAGCACATAAACCTCAGGGAAATCCTCTTTGTCTAGTACATTTTTTTCAATTAGAAACTAATAAAGTTTTGCCCCTAATCCTCACAGTACTATTTGCTGGTGCATAACACAACTCAAATATTTTTCAGTGAACGAATGAGCAAGTAGTTTCAGAATAAGCCTGCAGAGAAGTAGGTGGGACCTGCCCAGATAGAGCAGAGCAGAGCTGGGGAAGGGGGTTGGGATCTTGGTGGGGAGGACAGAGGCTGATGGAGAAGTCTGGCTTTGCTGGGGCAGGTGGCGGGCAGCCACAAAGCCATTCTGCCTGGCATAAGGGTTATCCACACCTCTTCCTGCTCCCCTTCATCAGGCTGTAAGCCTTGCAGGATGGGAAGTGCACTGGCTCTGTCTCTGCACCTTCTTTCCCACCCCGCCTTCACTGCCTAGCACAACACCAAGTGGTTGGTTGGCGTGTTGTTGAAGAATGAACGACAAGCCCATGAATAGAGAGAGCTGGTTCACTGATCATGTTCTCCCCAACCAACCAGCTTA